CATCTTTTGGTTAGAGTACTTTGCTAGTCATAACATTTTTAAGCTCAGTTTTTTGACAAAGATTAAACTTGGGGATGAAATAAAGCTTATGAAATCTGATATGTGAAAAGCAGTCAGTGCGACAAAACGTTCCCCTGTGCAGTGAGAGGTGATTGGATGCCGTCAGACTCTTGTGGATTATGTTGAGGAGGTTTTGTTGGTGTCGTAATTAGTCGATCATTCACCTCCCATCCTTCAGACTCATTCCTGGTGTAGGGTTGCATGCTTTTCTTTTGTCTGTATTGTGAGGAGGCTTGGAATTTCAGTTCATCTTTCAGACATCTTAGGATTTCCTTCAAAATCTCACAAACTTATATTAACCAGTGGATTAGGTACTGGCTATGATTTAGAGAGAAAAAGAAAAAAGTACTGATAGTTTTGTAAATTATTCGAGATCTCCTCTATTTTGTTTTTCTGATTCTGCGGTGCACAACCAAAGAAAAACATCCTCAAACATTAATGCTTTTGACAAACAAACCATTTGAAACGTGTGTGACAAGAATGTAAAAGAAAAATTATGATAGTGCAAGGTTCACTAATATATGATAACTGGGTGCTGAAGCCGATGAGGATTTAATTGAAGTTGTGTCAAAAATCAAAAGCAGAGGAAATGCATTCCTTCTTTTTAGKCTCCCTTTTGTCTTAAACATACAGCACAAACTTTTGAACCTCTTATGCTGTAATTAAGTGTCCGACACCGCACTTTGAAAACAGGAAGTCTTCCAGCCATGTTGATGTTTGACTCGATGCAAAGTCGTAGTAGACATGAAAGAAATGCCGAAAAGAGCGATGCGTAATTTTCAGCAAAGTTCAAGGCTTGTTCAGGCTTTGATGCCCGGAGAATACAAACACGAAAATACTGCCAGTCTAAGGTCTAAGGTCAAATTTTCTTCATACAAGCTGTAAATGTGGTTACTCACTGACCAACTTCCTCCAATTTTAGATGAAAAAATGATTGGCTGTCACTACAGTCACAAGTTAGTTTATGATTCCATCATTTGTTCTGTTTGAGGGATTTTATATTTATTCTGCTCAGAGTTGTAAAGTACAAATACTTTGTTACTGTACTTAAGTAGGAATTTTGATTATCTGTACTTTACTTACTTGAGTAATTATTTTTCAGTGTACTTTTTACTTTTACTCGTTACATTTTTATACAATTATCTGTACTTTCTACTCACTACATTTTTAAAAGGTAAGAAGTAGAAAGTCGTTACTACTATTTTATTCTGAGTTGTTATTACTTAAAAAATACTATCCTGCTGAACTGTGGCTCCTGGATAAAGTAAATTTAATTGTTGTGAGGTGCAGGCAGGAAAAAAACCCAGGGTACAGGCAAAAAATCCAAAGTTTAACAAAATATTTATTAATTAAACAAAAAGGCTGGCAGGGCAACTCAAAACATCTCAGAGTAACAGGAACACAGAACACCACACTGGCTGTGTAGCACAATGATCAGACAAACACTGAAGACAAGACACTGAATATAAAGGTAAACTAATTAGGGCAACAAGACACACCTGGAGCAGACACAAGAGGACACAGGTGAGAGAGGGCGGGGCTGCAGGGCAGAGAAACACAGGGGAATACTGAAAACACTAGAAAATTAAGGAAAATAAACACAGACTGTGACAATTATGGTTGGATGAGAAGTATAAATATATACCATCCTGACACCCTATTAGCTTGTACACAACCCATCACAGCTGCACGCCGTAAGAAAAATTTTTTTTTGGAGAAGTCACCTCCCAATAAATGTCATTTTGGAACATCTAACTGCTCACTTTTACTCTATTCTTTTACTTTTAATACTTAAGTAGATTTTGTGTCAGAAATTTACTTTTGATACTTAAGTACAAAATATATCAGATACTTTAAGACTTTTACTCAAGTAATATTCTTATAGAAGACTTTAACGTTTACCAAAGTATATTTATGATGAAATACTTGTACTTTTACTCAAGTATCATGTTGAGGTACTTTATACAACACTTTCTGCACATCTTGTGTAATTAGAATTGGTAATCTTGTGGCAGGTTTACCAAAATATTCCAGTTAAAGCAAAACACACCAATGGAAACTCTCACATTAGGAAGAAGGTGTAAAAAAATCTATTTTTTGTTTACTTTGAATAAACAGTTTAAAAGATGCTGGGCCAAWTGTTTCTAATAAAGTAAACAGCTTTTTATTGGTCTTTTATTTATCAGGAGAAATTGAACTCAGCTGTATTTTTATGTGAACAGCAGCTGAAGTTAAGTCAGCATTCTGCGATCTTTAAACAATATTTTTATTGCTCCTCAAAATATGTTGAAATGGCATTTCTCTTTAAATGGATGGCTTGAAGGCAAAATTCAAAGTCCTTTTCACCACAAAGGATGTCGTTATTTTTATGTCTACAATTAAATTGTCCCTTTTTGACAGTTTCAGGGTGAGTGATTGCTCGGGTAAATGACCTTCTTGCCCAGAAGGTCAAACGAGCATATGTTTACAAAGTGAAACAAGTATGCAGATAGCGGGAGAATGGACCACTAAACTTATTATATTTCATTTAATTTTCAAACACCTGTTTTTATTTGTATTTTTTAATTATTTTTTTCTTTTCATTACATCCCTTGTGCCATGACAGAAACCTGGTGGTCAAGCAAGTGGTCAGGCTTTTGTAAAAACCTTTCTGCCTCTTTGCATAAGCATCTGAAAGCGTTAAAAGTCTTACACGGTGTCTTTTGAGTCTTTCTATCAACAAGCAAGGTTACAAACACACAAAACAAGCTCTCCTTTAATTTGAACCTAAATACCGCAAGAAAGACGCACCGAGCCCCTTTCTTCCTTTTAACTCTGAGACCCCATTTAGGAGCTGTCGAAGGTCTCTGTCAGCCCGTTCCATAGGCAAAGTAAAAAACCAGTCTGGACAAGAAACTGGAGGCCTGGATTACAATATAACCACAGGGTGCTGAAACAGCCCTCTATACTGGATTAAACAATAAATGCCTGCATGTCGGGAATGCAGTTTCTTTGTTACAACCAAGCTTGTGGGAGTAAATAACTCTGTCTCGTTAGAGATTACCCTGAAAAAAAACTGTAAATGTTTCAGTTTATTCAGAAAATTAGATTTCCTAAAAGGACTCACATTTGTTAAGGGATTGAAAGCCCCTCCACTGCTTTGTCTGCAAAACATTTAAAGTCTGATCTTGCACAATCCATTAGACAATGGAAAATTCAACTGAGCTGACTCTCAGCTGCTGCTACACCGGAGTTATTGCCATATTTTTTTTCTTTTAGTTGATTAGATTTGTTGCTAACCAACATAAATGACCACAACATCTAATGCCAGCTAAAAAAAATGRTCTCACAGTCCGTTAGAGCTCACAGTATGTGTGGAGAGTGAGTGTCAGCTATGGCCTCACCAAATTCTCTAACAATAACTGAGTTTTAGATATTTTTTGTTTTTATGGTTTATTTGCCGTAATAGACATCTTGAATTGTAGTTCAGGTGTAGATATACATCTAATGATTACTTTTAGTAAGTTTCATTGATGATTTGCGTTTTCTGCCTCAAATACTTTCCACCTAACCAAGTTTTAAACTCTTATATCAGCCAAAAAGTCTTTTTGATCATGTTTTGAGACTGATTTACTAAACAAGAACTGATTGTGTAAGAATAAAAATCTTGTTTTCAGAATGTGTAAGATTATTTGTCTTGTTAGCCTAAAAATTTGACTCAAACTTAGTCAAAAGTTTTTGCCAGTGGAGTAAGAAAATTTTACTTGGTAAGATTCTTGAAATAAGAAAAAATTGAGTCAAATCAAGTATTTTAAGAATCTTACCAAGTAAAATTTTCTTACTCCACTGGCAGAAACTTTTGACTTAATTTGAGTCAAATTTTCAGACTAACAAGACAAATAATCTTACACATTCTGAAAACAAGATBATTATTCTTACACAATCAGTTCTTGTTTAGTAAATCAGTCTCAAAACAAGATCAAAAAKACTTTTTGGCGGGATATGAGATTTTAAAACTTGGTTAGGTAGACAGTTTTTGCAGTGCTGCAGTATTTTYAATATGAGAACACATGGCTGAAATGAAGTACTGTTGTTTTTGTGTTCAACACATCACATTGGAGATACAGGATTTGTTTGAGTTGCAGTTGCTTTTTTCCTTGTTTTTAGCAGAGTCTTTGCACGTTGCTACARCATGCAATTACTTTTGTTTGAAACATAAACCAACAAAAACCCATATCTGTAGTTCTCTTATGATCATATTTGTCATGGGGAGCAAATTGGTGTCACATCCTGACAGCATATATGGGTTTTGTACACTGAAAAGCAAGACTGCTGTAATTCTGTGGTATCAAATCACTTTTCACCACTGCAACAAAAGTGGAAGGAGGAGTCAAAAGAATAAATATTGCCTCGGCAGCCAATACCAAGCACAACTCCTCCCTGTCTCCCCCCTCCTTAGTTCTTTTGAATGAARGGGCTCCTCTTCACTTCTCCCCTCCGGCTGGTGGAGTGTGTGTGGTGGCAGAGGGTGTTGGGACCGTCTGGACATGTCATCTTTTGCTCTGGGAGCCTGATCCAGCCGTGGTGGATGTGGTAGGATATCAACCCAATAATGAGGATCCAGTTTGGAGTTTTGCTTTTGCTGGCCCTGTGGGTGGTCTGCTCTGATGCTTGGTTCTGGTTCCGGACTGGTACCACCACAATGCCCCCGGCAATGGAGGAGGAGGGATCTGGCAGTCCCGCAGGTAGTGGAGAGCCACCATCTGAGAGCAGTGAAAGTGTTGGAGCAGAGATTATTGAGGAGGAACTTGGAATCCCTAAAGTTGGGCCAACTTGGACAGAGACCACAAAGGCTCCTGAATGGACCACCATAACTCCCTCAGTCCAACCAGAGAGTGAACACACACCAGAAAAGACCACTCCAGGGATTTCATCACACACAAGCAAACCTGGTAATGGCACATCTTCATTGAAGAGCATGGGTTCTGATAAATCGGAGTCTGAATCAGACCTGGGTTCTGGTCTTTTGTTCAGCTCCGAATCAGATTTTATAGCAGGAAATGAGAAAAGTTTGGGATCTGGAAAAGAAGCAGGGACTTCCATTCATTACGGATGGTTAGATAGAGGAGCCAGTGCAGGGTCTATGAAGAATGAGCAAAAACGGAAGTTTACAGAGAAAACGTCTCCTAATAGAGTAGATCAGGATCAAAATCTGGATTCTGCTGCTAAAACACCCAACAATCAGAACAACATAAACAATAACACTCGCAGGAATGATTTCAATCTGACATCTTATAAAACTCCAGAAGACTTCATACCTTTAAATTTAAACGGCAGTYTTGCCCAGGCTGCTGAAGTGTCTCAGAGCAATCAGCAGCTAAAAGACTCTCAGATGCCTAATGAGGATATTTTACCTAACATGCTAAAGACTGAGCAAGTTCCAGTTCTTAACCAGACCCTATCTATAACAGAAACTCAAACCCACAATCTGTTTATTGCCCAATCCAAAACCCATAATAACAGACCAGAATCTAACTCCGCACCCACAGAAACCCAACTTCAAATATCTAGTGAAACGTTAAGAGAGAAAGCTTTAACTGGTCAAACTGCAGAGGTGTTGGCTGAAAACCACACAGAAGTTAAATCCAAACCAGTTATTGAGTCATCCCAATGCTTACTCATAGATACTGCTCTTCCTTTCTGCTTCTCGATGGAGGGGTTTGCTGTTCCCAATTATCTCAACCAGAGCAGTGTGGAGGAAGTCCGAACACTTTTGAATGAATGGGTATGGCTTCTACAGTCTCGCTGCCATCCTAGCTTGGAGCGTTTTTTCTGCCTTCTCTTGGTACCAAAGTGTGGCTCTGGGGCAGCGCCACCTGTGTTGCCCTGCCAGAGTTTCTGCGAGGTGTTGCGAGACAGTTGCTGGACGCTGCTGGATGAGGGACACCTCCCTGTGGAGTGCCACTCTCTACCAGATGAGGAGGACGAAGGGTATCAGTGCTTGTCARTTAGTAACCGGAAAGGTAACCACTGGTTCCGAATGAAACCAAATTTAGGTTCGTTTGGAAACAGTTTTGAACATTTCTAAACTTCCCCACCCAGTTAATTGATATTTATACTCACCAGTCCTGACCGTGATGGCTTAACAATGTGTTTGTGTTTGAGCAAAGCCTTATGTAAGAAAATTTTTTTAAAAAAGATTGTTTTGGCTGGAACCTAACAAGCATGCTGCCAGGCAGTTAATGTGTTTAACCTGCTGCATGTACATTTTCACCGTTCTCTTCCATAAC